CCCATCTTCCTTCCGAGGAGTGGCTGGTGGATTTGAACCGCCAGCCTTCTGGTTAGCAGTCAAGTGCCTTAGGCACTATGCTACCAGAGCTCCTATTCTTTGGAATAGGTACAGATATAGATCTCTTCCAGTCAATGGCCAGGTAGCTGTCTTCCAAATCTCTTGGCAAGGCCAAATGAGTGCCTTCAGCGGGGCATCCATTTGTTGAAACATCTCAGTGGGTATTCTTTCAGTTCCTGGAACCTTGTTCTTCACCAATTCCTTCAGTGCAGTTTCGACTTCTTTCAATACCACTGGTTCTTGATCATATGCCATTTCTGAAATGGATGAACATCAACCAATTCTTTTTGGTACAGTGACTCTGAGTATTTCTTCCATCTTTTTTTTTAATGTTTCTTGCATCATTCAACATATTGGCCATGTAATCTTGCAATATTGCAACTCGAGGCTTAAATATTTTCCTCAGTTCTTTCAGCTTTTGTCTAGCCACTTATTCTTCACTTTCTTCCTCTCTCTCCCAATTCAAAGGACTTCCCTTTCCCCTTTTCTAACTCCAGATCTTTGCACATTTCATTTTAATAATTGGTTTTGCCTTCTCGAACTCCTCTTTGAAATCTTTTGTTCAGCTCTTTTATCTTCTCATTTCTTCCATTTGCTTTAGCTACTCTCCATTCAAGGGCAAGTTTCAGAGTCTCTTCTGACATCCATTTTGGTCTTTCTTCCTTTCTTATTTATTTAATGACCTCTTACTTTCTTCATGGATGATGTTCTTGATGTCATTCCACAGTTCCTCTGGTTTTTGGTCATTGGTGTTCAGTGCATCAAATCTGTTCTTTAAATGGTCTCTAAATTCAGGAGAGATATAATCAAGGTCATATTTTGGCTATGTGAACTTGCTGTAATTGTCTTCAACTTCAACTTCAACTTGAATGTGGATGGTCTGTTCCACAATCAGCTCCTGGCCTTGTTTTGGCCGAAGATATTGAACTTCTCCATTGCCTCTTGCCACAGATGTAGTCCACATATATAGTCATTGTTGAAAAAAGGTATTTGCAATGAATAAATCATTGGTCTTGCAAAATTCTGTCATGAGATCTCCAGTGTTATTTCTATCACCAAGGCCATATTTTCCAACTACTAATAACTCTTCTTTGTTTTGAACTTTTGTATTCCAGTCACCAGTGATAATCAACACATCTTGATTGCATGTTTGGTCAGTTCAGACTCTAGAAGTTGGTAGAAATCTTCAATTTCCTCATCTTTAGCTTTAGTGGTTGGTGCATAGATTTGAATAATAGTAGTAGTAACTGGTCTTCCTTGTAGGTGTATGGCTATTTTCCTATCATTGACAGTGTTGTACTTCAGGACAGATCTTGAAACACTCTTTGTGACAATGAATGCCACACTGTTTCTCTTCAATTTCTTGTTCCCGGCATATATCATATATCATATTGCTGTCTGATTCAAAATGTCCAAAAGCAGTCCATTTCAGCTCACTAATGCCTAGGATATCAATCTTTATGCATCCCATTTCATTTCTGACAACTTCCAATTTTCCTACATTCATGCTTTGTGCATTCTATGTTCCAATTATTAGTGGATGTTTGCATCTGTTTGTACTCATTTTGAGTCATGCCACATCATCCAGTGGAAGTCTTAAGCTTTATTCTATCCATGTCATTAAGGTCATCTCTACTCCGAGGGGTCAGCTCTTCTCCATTCAAATTTTGAGTGCCTTCTGGCTTGATGGGCTCATCTTCCAGCACTATGTCGGACAATGTTTCAGGGGTATTCATATTTCCAGTAATATATCAGACAGTGTTTCACTGTTATTCATAACATTTTCACTGGCCATTTCTTTGAGAAGTAGATGGCCTCTACCTTCTCCCGAGTCTGTCCTAGCCCAGAAGCTCCACTGAAACCTGTCCATCAGGGGCAACCCTGCTGGAGTTTTGCCACACCAGTGACATAGCCTCCAGCCTCACAGCAACATGTAAGCTACCACAGGACAAGAAGCTGACAGACAAGTTCATCTCCCTTAGTTGTTCCTAACCCCTCTGTGCCCCAAGTGAAAAGCAGCCCCCAATACCCACGCCTGCCTACCGTAGGCCACAGCTTTAAAATAGAGCTGCCCCAAAATGAAAAGCAGCCCCCTAGCCCTGCACCTGTGTACCTCAGGCCCTGACCTTAAAATAGGGCTCCCCCCACATGCAAAAAAGCATCCCTCGGGCTCCAGCTTTAAAATAGAGCAGCCCCCAAGTGAAAAGTAGCCCCTGAGCCCCGTGCCTGTCTACCTAGGGCCCCGGCCTTAAAATAGAGCCCCCCTTCCCCGCCCAAGTGAAAAGCAGCCCCCAAGCCTCACACCTGCATACTAGGGCTTTTATGCGCACATTGCTTTAAATTCTGGGAAAAGCAAGTATGTTAATATTTTTTAAGTGAATTAGAAAAATATATTTGTAAATTGTTATTCATTCATTTAGTTTAATTATCTACATCAAAAAGTAGAAACTACTAACCAAGCTATCTTAATTTTACAGGATCCACAGATTCTGGATATTGGTGCTGACCAATCCAAGATAAAGGTCATGTTGAACGATCTGCAATTAGTTTTAGATGATCTTCAGAAACGTGCATTTCAATACAAATCTTATCAGAAGAACTTTAAGGTAGTGACAGCTCTACACATCTGTTTTTAATATGTGTGCATAGAAAGTAGGGTTTAAACACTGTGACTGTAAACATTCAGTGTTGGACACCTATGTGCTAGTCACTGTGCTAGAAATAGTCTGAAACACAATGTATGATGTGTTCCCTGCCTTTAAAGTGTTTAGAAATTAGTACATATTTCTTATTAAAAAGTAATTGTGAGTTGCTGAAAGCTTTCAGTCAGACCACGAACTGTAGTTTCTATATTAAAATATATGGATTTTTTAATGTAGTGAATTAAAGCCCCTCTCTTCTTTCTTATGAAGAGTTCTGGTGGGATAGTGGTTAAAGCATTTTGGCTGCTAACCAAAAGGTTGGTAGTTTGAACCCACCAGCTGCTCCATGGGACAAAGATGAGACAGTCTGCTTCCATAAAGATTTACAACCTTGGAAACCCTATGAGACAGTTCTTCTCTGTCCTACAGGGTTACTATGAGTCAGGATCTACATGAAGGCAGTAGGTTTGTTTTGTTTTGTTTTGTTTTTCTTATATAAGATTCAAGCTGCATTTATATTCATGTGCCTAAGGCATTTGACTGCTAACCAAAAGGTTGGTGGTTCAAACCCACCAGTCACTCCTCAGAAGGAAGATTGGGCAATCTACTTCCATAGAGATATCTCCTCAGAAACGCAAAGAGGGGTCACTGTGAGTCAGGATCACCTTGATGGCAGTGAGTTTGTTTTTTTGGTCTGTATTACATGCTATGAATCCATGAATAGTGCATGATTTACCCCAGTTTGATGTGCCAATTTGATGAAAGAAGGTATCTTCAGTGAAGCCAAGGAAGAGATGGGCCAAAAGGGCAGGTTGGACAGACTGAAAGATGTTCCTTATAAGAATGAAGAGAAAGTAGAAAGGGAGGTAGTTGCTAATGACCACTTTTAGAGATTAAAAAGAAGAAAATAGAACCAAGAGAGTGAGTTCAGTTCCAGGCCTGTAGAGTGACTGTGGGCCATAGTCAGAGTGGTTCCTCCAGTCTCTATCAGACCAGTAAGCCTGATCGTTTTAAATAGCAATTAGTGTCATGAAACAAAATGTATATCAACTGTTGACTGGAAAATGAATTTGCTCTGTAAACTTTCACCCAAGTCACAATAAAAAATTTGAAAGAAAGAAAAGAGTATCCCTAGGGTCAAAGCCACAGCAATGAGGGAGGTACTGTTGGTTTGCCCAAAAGTCTTAGAGTGGTGTACCTGCACCTGGTATGGGAAGAACCTATCTCTTCTAGAGCCCAAGATGGATTGCTCCAGAGTACTCTGATGAGCTGTCCACTTGCAATTGCAAGGCTTGGAAGAGAAATCTGCAAAATAATGAGCTTTGCACTGGGTAATGCAGCTGATACAATGCTTGAGGCAGGAGATCTATGTGCAAGAGAACCAGGGTTCAAATTATTCCCAGATTAAGTTAACTGACTCATATGCAGTACTAAGGATATGGAGGAAAAGTTGCTTGATAAAAAGTTACAACTAACAGATGGGTGCTCTATCAGAAAGAATAATGTTACTTGAGCCAAAGCCTGAAACAGATGAAATGTGTCCCCCTCTCTTCTACACTCCATGTCTGTGCTGACTGATTCTTCTTTCATGATTGCCTCAGATCCAAACTTCCTTCTGCAACTCCCAACCATTTGAGGGAGAGGAGGGAAACTTAACTGGCCTGTTGTTGTTGTTGTTGTTGTTGTTTGCCGTC